CCTGTCCCCTGCTGCAGAAACCTGTCCTGGCACCCTGCCCCCTCTCCCCCGCCCCCACTGGCACCCTGTTCCCTGCTCCAGAACCCACTAGCACCCCGCCCCAGTACTGTGTCCCCTGCTCCCAAATGACTTTTCTATGGGTCAGTGACCTCTGACTCAAGGCAGGTTCCCTGCCATTCTCATAAATAAAGACAATGCAGAAACTTTTTGTGTTTAACATAGTATTTTATTTAAAAATGAAGCCTGGCCAACAAACCCCCAATTGGGGCCAAGCCCCCATCTGGCCACAACCACTTCTGCAACTCCCCCTTTCCCAGACCCTAGATCTGAGCCTATCAAACACTGGAACCTCATGCCCTCAGCCCCTTACATACCCCAACCCAAATTCCTGCACCCTTACATCCATAAGCCTGTGGCTTGCTTAGTATCCCAACACTGCCCAGTCTGGAGCCCCCTCCCCGAGCCAGTGTCCCCTTCTCCACCTCCTCCTGCATCCTCATTTCCTCCCAGAGTTTGCACCTCTCACCCCTTCCCACACTCAAATACGTCCTTCCCACCCCAGAGACTACACATCCTATCTCAACACAGCAAGGGTCCAGCTAGACTGCAGGAGTTTTTCAGGATTCTGGAGATATCCCAGAAAAACTCTTCTGCATCCAGGGTTGCGTTTGTTCTTCCGCTTTTTTAGTGGAAGAGCAAACATGCTCTTTCAGTCACCTTATATTCCTTTATCCACAAGGAATAAGGTGGCTTCCAAAAGAAGGGTTTTTTTCTGACATTTGGTCCAGTGTAGACAGGCCAAATGTTGGAAAAACCTTTTACTACAGAAGAATAAAATAAAAAAATAAAATAAAAAAATAAGCAGCAGTATAAGGATTGGAGATAGCAAGTGACGGAGAGGAGGAGAATAGAGAGGGCGGGGCATCAAGGAAGAGGTGGGGTGGTAGTTCTGGGCTTGGTCTGTCATTTAAAAAGTGATCTTGGGTATAAAAAGGTTGGAGACCACTGGGTTAGATGATCCTTAGTTAATGTAACACAGAACTTTTGTGTCCACACAGAGAACCAACTAATGGTGATATTGATTCAATGTATTGATCAGAGTATGCTCAAAAGATCTCCATTAATGGACCATGAAGGATATTTCATGTCAAGACCGATACAATGGGCATAGAGATGTTTGTATAGTGCATACATGTATTCTGTACAAGTGTATGCTGACCTGTTAATATTAAAGGGGTGATATGGGGAAAAATTATTTTCCTGTATTAATTACATACTAGATTATTTTAAAAAGAAAGTATTTTTACAATCAGGTTTTTTCCATTTATTCTGTGGAGTGAATAGCAAAATGGTAAGCAGTGTGATGAGCATAACTGGGTGCTAGGTGCCCTTTTTAATATTCAATTTCACTTTTTCTCATGTACCAGTACAATATTAAGGTTTTTAATTAAAAACCTAAATTGTGTGTAAACTTACTTACACGCTTCATGAGCACTAGGGTTTAATAGAATCATAGTGTTGGAAGATACCTTAGATCCGTGGTCCCCAACCCGGTGCCCGCGGGCGCCATGGCACCCGCTGGGCCCTTTACATGTGCCCGTGGAGCAATCTGGGCTGGCCCCGCCCCCGGGCGTGCGGCAGGTGCCAGCCCCGGGCGTATGGCTGGCCCCGGCCCTGGGTGCGCTGCGCGTGCCGGTGCCGACCCTGACTCCTGGCCTCGGCCCTGGCCCCCACGCGTGCCCTTGCCGGCCCTGGCGCCGGCCTTGGCCCCGCTCCTGGGGGCGCTGCGCCAGCCCCAGCCCCGGGGGTGCCACGCGGAACCTGGGCAGCCCCTGCCTGGGATCGCGGCACATGCCGGTGCCGACCTCGGGCGTGCGGCGCATGCTTGGCCACGCCCCCAGTCACGTGGCCTGTGAGTGGCCCCGCCCCCATATGCGCAGCGTGTGAGCGGCCCCGCCCCCAGGCGCCCAGCAGCCCCAAAACGTTGGGGACCACTGCCTTAGATGATTATTTAGTCCACCCCCCTGTATGAAACAGGACCAGCCCCTACTAAATCATCCCAGCCAGGTCTTTGGGTTTGCAGTAAGCTATTTTATTTGATCTAAGAGGTAGCAATTTAGTAACTTAAATATAGGTTGGGGGATAAAGCTCTCAGGAATATACTGTAGCAGAGCAATCTTGCATGCATTTTAGGCAGGGCTAGATAACCTACATTCCTACTCTGTCTCCCTAATTATAAACCCTATGGCTACGTCTACACTGGCATGATTTCCGGAAATGCTTTTAACGGAAAAGTTTTCCGTTAAAAGCATTTTCGGAAAAGCGCGTCGAGTGGCAGGACGCTTTTCCGGAAAAGTGTCCATAGCCAATCTAGACGCGCTTTTCCGCAAAAAAGCCCCGATCATCATTTTCGCGATCGGGGCTTTTTTGCGGAAAACACTACTGTGCTGTCTACACTGGCCCTTTTCCGGAACAGTTTTCCGGAAAAAGACTTTTGCCCGAACGGAAACAGCATAGTTTTTCTGGAAAAGCACTGATGATTTTACATTAAATCGTCAGTGCTTTTCCGGAAATTCAAGTGGCCAGTGTAGACAGCTGGCAAGTTTTTCCAGAAAAGCAGCTGATTTTCCGGAATAACTTGCCAGTGTAGACACAGCCTATGATTCTAAATATTCTAGAACAATGTTTTTAGCTTGATTTTTTTTTTTTCTCTCATCCCCCAGAGGAACAGAATACCTCTCTCTGACTGAAGATGTTGCAAATTGTTCTGCTCAGTATCTCAAAAATTAGGCCCTTAAAGTTTAAATATTGAAGTTAATGAGTGTTGGAAGTCTTGATGGAGCTTGGGAATGGCAGAGTGCTCTGTCTTTATATACCAGTGCACCTTGCTACAAGCTAATAAAGCCTGGGAAGATATGAGATGCTGTCTTAAATAGGACCCTTTTTTGGTGGTGGGGATGATAGTGCTGTCTATCTAGTGACTCTTTTTATTCAGAAGCACAAGCTTTCTATACTCGATTACACTTTCATGGAGTAAAGCAACCATGACCCCCTCTTCAAAAAAACAAAATTATGGTATAACTTTGTTTTTTGGTTGTAGTTGCTCAGTTGAGTGTAAGTGTAAAGTGAACAACTTTCCTGATGAAACCAGAGTTACCGTTTTAAGTCCTCAGTATTTTGTTATTACTTAATCCCCTCTCAGTTGCCAGTATTGACAATTTACTCTGTGCCATATTTGATTTGTCGATATCAGAGAGAGAAATTGAAATAGGCAAATAAAAATCCTCCTATTTTTGTTGCAAGACTTGCATTGCCTGCTCTAACTACTGTGGCTAGGTCTACACTACAAAGTTTTTGCACAAAAACAGCTGTTTGTGCACAAAAACCCGCAGAGTGTCCACATCTCAAGGGTGCTTTTGCGTAAGTAAATCAACAGTAAAATGGCAGAACAGAGGGCTTTTTGCGTTGGAGTTGTGTCTCCTAGAATGAGGTTTACCTACTTTTTGTGCAACAGCTGTAGCACAAAAAGGCATGTGTGGACGCTCCATAGGGGTTTCTTGTGCAAACAGAGCCCATCTGAAAAAGCACAGGTGCTCTGATGTCCATTCTGTGAATGGCCATCAGAGCTTTCTTGTACAAGAGCATCCATGCAGTGTGGATGGTCTCTTGCGCAAAAGCGATGCCTTTGAGGTGTGGACGCGATTTGCGCAAGAAGTTTTTGACCAAGAACTCTTCCGCAAAAGACTTCTTGCACAAAAACCTTGTAGTGTAGACGTAGCCTGAGTGTTAGGAATGTGACCTTATAGCAATGTATTACCTATTGTAACATGCTGCACTAAACCATATTGATTTATGTGGGTCTGAATTGTGTGAACTGCAGGTCTGAGCTTCAGGGGATAGCCGAGTTAGTCAGTCACAGGAAAAAAAACAACAAATGGTCTGATAGCACTTTATAGACTAACAACTTGTAGATGGTATCACAGCCCACTTCTTCAGATGACCGGCGATAACTCCAGTCATCTGAAGAAGTGGGCTGTGCCCATGAAAGCTCATGATACTATCTACATGTTTTGTTAGTCTATAAAGTGCTACCAGACCATTTGTTGTTGTTTTTTTGCAGGTCTGAGGCTACTCTTCTTCTTTGAGCTCTAATGTAAGTATTGTGTTAATGTATGTTTTAGGCTTGGTCGACACAAAGCAATTTGTCATCCACCAAACTGTAAATGTACACACTACAGCCTTGTTCCTACCAATCAAAAGCCCTACAGCACTGGCATAATAACTACACGGCCATGAGAGGCATTGGGCTTATGCCAATATGATTAGGGCAATCCATTGTCCATTTAGACGCTAGGTTACTTACATCTCTTGGGTGTTACTCTTGTCAGTTTCATGGCTCCACTGGAACTATAAAGCTGACAAAAAAGCTGGCTCCTATCTCTTCAGGCTAGATCTATTTTAAACAGGGATTCCATGCAGGCATCCTGCTCCAGCTGCTGCCTGGGCTCTCCACAGGGAGCACTACTACCAGCCTGGCTCCCTCTTCCCAGTCTTGCAGCTGAGCACCCAGCCAGACTCTGGGTGTGGATCTCCCCTTCAGGAGTCTGGCTGCCTTGCCTCCGGCTCTCAGCTCCCTGCTGCCCACTGGGAGCATGGCTGTGACCAGTGGGGAACTTTGCAGCTCGAGCCTTATGTGGACTGCCTGGGCTCCTGGCAGGGAGCCAAGATGCTCATTTGGGGAAGAGTAGTGGCAGCCAGGCTCCTGGTGAGGAGTTGCTCATGAAGCTGAGAGCCCTGGCTCTCACCTTTCATCCCCACCTCCTCCACACACCCATGCTGCTCCTCTGAAGTTGGTGGAAGCCCTCCTGGTGAGGATGCACATCCCCCCACAGAAGAAGGGCAATATGGACATGAACCACTTCAGTGATTATTATGGTGTCTGTAAAATGGCCTAACATAGTTTGTCGTACGGTTTATATTGTAAGACACGCTCTTAGTGTAACACTGAAATGTAAGAGAACAATTTCTAATTCAATGTTGTTGTTTCTGTTTATGGAGTTTTGTCAGGAAGTGCAGCCCTGTATAAATGTTCATTGAACACAAGTGTGACTTTTCTTTGTAGGTGCAGAGAGAAGTCCTACCCTTCCGATTTACCGTTTGCCAGCATTGTTATTTGCTTCTATAATGAAGCATTCTCTGCTTTGCTTCGAACAGTACATAGTGTATTGGATCGCACGCCAGCCTATCTTCTTCATGAAATTATCTTGGTGGATGACAACAGTGAATTGGGTGAGTGACTGTGAATTGGGTGAGTGACGATCTCAGTAGTCACTTGGGCTCACTTGGCACATGTGTGCTTGCAAAGACTGGTGGTGTTTGGCTATCTGATCTCTTCTGTGCTTTTATCTTTTAAACCATGTATTGTATGGACAGGGCTCTTCAAAATAGTTCTGTTAACTTAATTTGGGCCAACTGGAATTAATTCATAATACTTAAGATTTAAATAGCTGGGATCAGCCGAATTATGAATAACATATGAGAATATATAGGAAAGTTTGCTGGACAAGCCTGCTGTTCAGAATGGCTTTTGCAGATGCTCTAAGAATAGGTTTTGTAGGCCACGTTCTGCACAAGCATATATTTACAATGAAAAAGAGTTGCCTTCACCCAGTCCTGTGCTGTGCAATTTTTTCCATGATCATGTAAGTTGCTACAGTACCACAGATGGAGTGTGTGATTTCTGCCAGCTCATTAATTCAGTGGTTGTGGAACCTGGGAGCAGAGTCCAGCTTTTGGGCTGGGAATGCTGTGCATTACTCTCAGGCAATCTTGTGGTTGTCCCAGGAGTAATTTTCACTTTCTTTTGATGGAGCAGTGTCCAACTCTAGGAAATTGGAAGGGGATCAGTCCAGTGGTGGGGCTCCTAGAGGGGGCAGATCTTTCAGAATGAATTGTCAGATATTTGTCTGCAGTTTAATGATCATGCACCAGCCATTTTCTTTAGCATGCTCTGCAAATCAAAACAAGCCACTAACTTGGAAGCATTCTGGCATTTGAATAGCTTAGCAGCAGCTGAAAAATGTCGGTGTAAATAGCAATTACAGCAGCATTATGTGTGCTCCCTATTTTCTTGCTGTATAAACATCCATGGCCTTATATATCTCTTTCATGTGATCCCTTTTTAATGTACATAATTAACTTGTCTTGTTTGTCACCATCTGATTTCAGGCTTAAACTCTCTTGTCTTTGAGGCTGATTACATCTGTATGCTTTAGAATGGAATTCCCTTGTTCTTACAAAGCTAATTTGTTTCTGTTGGCTCAGAGCAAATGTTGAAGTAGGAGAGAAAATTTAGGATTAAATACTCTATCCATTGCCAATAAACATGCCTCATGTTTTAAATTCCTGTTTTGTGCTTGTCCTCTTGGGGTTTGGAAGGAATGCGCATCCCCCACGACAGGCTTTCAGCACTACTTACGGCTTTCAAGTTTCAGAGCCTTTACGTTCAACAGTAAACTTACCTCAAAATTGAGTCTTCAAGTATGGTATAAACACAGACTTCTTTCCTTGCTGACTAAGCCCTCTGACCCTGCTACTATTTTGGTATCTTGCTATTTTGAAAGCCTAGGGCAGGATGGCTAACCCATTAGAGATGAAGAGCCAAAACAGCGGTGGATAGAGTGCGAAGAGCCACATTTGGGGGGGGGGGGGAAAGGGGGGGGAGTTGTTGACCAAAAAAAAAAAACCAAAACCCTCACAACCCATGCTGGGGGAAAATAGGTGCCGGTACACCATCCCGGGGCATACCATCACAAAAAAAAGCACTGGGAAGGGGTGAGAAGTGCAAGCTCTGGGAGGGAATTTGGGTGCAGGAGGAAGTAGAGAAGAGGATGCTGGCTCAGGGAGGGGGCTTCATGCTGGAGAGTGTTGGGGTCAGGTGGAGGGTTGGGGTGCTGAGCAAGCCGCAGGCTTGTGGCAGTGAAGGGGCAGGGGGTTGGGGTGGGGAGGACAGGGGGTTTCAGTGTATGATAGGATCAGGTTTGTAGTCGGGGGTGGTGGTGCAGGAGTGTTATGATGCTGTGGCCAAATAGGGACTTGGCCCAATTGGGGGCTTGTTAGCCAGGCTTCATTAAGTAAATATTATATCAAACACAAAATGTTTCAGCGTTGTCTTTATTTATGAGGGGGGGGACGACCTGTTTTTGAGTCAGGGGTCACTGACCCACAGAAAAGTCAGTCGGGGCCACATAAGTGAGATGCAAAAACACAACCGCTCCAAAACCCCCCAAGCCTCGCTAATATGGCCCCAACTGTGCTGGTGGGGGCAGGGTGCTGGGGCTGGGTGCTGGGGCAGGGTACTCATGGGAGGGGTCTGGTCAGGAGGAGGGGACAGAGACAGCTTGGGCCAGTACGTGGGGATCCCAGGTCTCAGGAAGTGTGCTGCCCCCCTCCCCCAACCCAATCCCACTTCCCTTCCCCAGAACCAGACACACAGACCCCAACCCAATCCCCCTCTCCCAGAGGCAGGCACTGCCCCCCTGCTTTACCAATCCCCCTCCCCCGCTTTACCTAATTCTTGGGTCCCGGAGCCTCCGCTATAGCCAAGCGTCTCCCTCTGGGTGCGTGTGCTGAGCAGCTGGCATGCCATGTGCCCCCCCCAACCTAATCTCCCTTCCTCCCCTCCCCCACTAACCTTATGCCCAGGTCCCGGAGCCACTGCTGGTGCCACCGCCCCCGGAGCTGCTGCTGCCTGCACCCATCAGCTGGCTGCTGGCATGTGCAGGCTGGGGCGCTGTGTGCGCCCCTGACTGCATGTGCAGGATATGATGCAGTACGCTGGGGGCCGTGAGTGGAATGCGGTGTGCTGGGGGCCCTGAGCACGCATGCGGCTCACAGCAGCCCAGTTGTGAGACTGGCGGACCTGAGCGGTTCCGGGTTCTGTCAGGAGCTGCAATTATTTTCTTGCAGCTGGTGGCCTAGGTAGTCTCAAAGCTTTGATGTCATGCTAATATTTCTTACGTTAAACTAGACTAAAGTGGCAGGAGAATGGGGTGAGATTTCTTCAAACAAAAGGGTTTGTGCACACTCATTGCTAGTGTAATAAACTAACAATAACATTGATACCTTTTAACCAAAGACATTTCACAAGTGAAAGAGCAGAGATGGGTTTTCTCATAAAGACCCTGGACCAAAGCTTTAGTCGCTGGCTCTGTGCAGATTTCTTGTGTGGTCTTGGGTAAATCACCAAATTTCTGTGTACCATCGTTAACTGTGTAAAATGGAGATAATAGTACCTTCTTACTCCCACCTTTTGTCTTGTTTGCTTGGATTGTAAACTCTTCAGGACAAGGATTGTCTCTAACTTTATTAATATATCCTGCTAGTGCAAGGAGGGTTTGGTAGGCTTGGGGCTTGTAGATGCTACTGTAATACAAATAATGGTAGAACTCCATTTGGCTTGTGGGTGTGACTTTTTGGCATTCATTAATTAGAAAAATCCAGTTGTGCTAGTCTGTAACTGGAAAAGACCTACATGCTAGGAGTGTAGGCAGGTAAAATTCAGATATATGAGAAAGGTGAAAAGGCCAAGATTCATGAAATTGCATCTGAAATGAAATTTTGCCCACTTGCTCACCTCTAGTCACATGTGGTCTGCTGCTTAGCCTTGTATTCTGTCGTGCAATGCTCAGGTCTTTGGATTTCCTTCAATAAATTCCTTACACACATGAACAATTTTAAATGGCCTATACAAGCTTTTCTGTGTCTCAGCTGGAAATCATTTAGGCTGGGCTCCCCTTCTTCACTCACTCTGGCTGTCATCCTATCTGATCTCCATCCAGGATTTTCTCCTTCTCTAGGCTACTTCCTCTCCTTCTCTCATTTAATCCCTACCTTACTAGCTATAGCACAGAAGGTGACGACCTCTGTGCTAGTGGCTGTTGGTGTTCTTCCCTTGAGGACAAGAAGAGACCAGAGACAGGAAAATGAGCTGAGAAAGTACCTTCCTCAGCTGGGCTTCCTGCACTGTCACTGTCCCACAGGGTACTGTAGCCAGTGTTCTGTTTTCTCCATTGAAGAAGGCTCCACTACCTCAGCAGAGCAAGACAAAGGTTGGAGACATTTCTAGAGCACCCTTGGTTGCCCAGATGGGGGGAGAAGCTCTCCTTCAGGGGCAGTGGTGGCTTTCAGATGCTGTAACAGACAAAACCAGCCTGCCTTGTGTCTGGGAAGGTGCAAGAACTTCTCTTGTGGGGAAAGAGATGCTAAGGCAGTCTTAAACCTCTCTTCCAGAAGTTCTCTTTAAAAGCCCTCTGTGGGTTCCCTGGGGCCTTACCCTTTTGTATTGCATGGTTTTCAGAAGCTGTCTTGGGGCACATGCAGGATCTTCTGCTACTCCCTTCAACCACGTAGTGTAGCAACAGTGATTTTCTATTTTCTGCTTTCTCTTTGGCGAGACAAAGGCTGCTAAGAATTGGGAAAGGTGGGAACATTTTTTCCCCCATCCACAGAGACTCTCAGGAAACCTTTTTTTCGGCATGTTAGATATAATTTAATTTTAGTAATTGTGTAGCCACAACAATTTTTAATGGTTACATGGTTACTAAAATGTTCCCTGGGGAAGGGGCTGACAGCCAGTGTGCTCCTGGCTCCCGGCTCCAGTCCTGGGGAGCACCTGTCACCTTGCTGCGGAGCCAGTCTGCAAGGGAAGCTGGTTTCAGCTCCCCTTGTGGACCAGCTCCGCCTGCCACTCTGCACTGCTGGCTCTAATACAGAGCCAGCAATGTGGGGCAGCAGCAGCCCGTACCTGCAGGGGGCCCAGGCCTTACCCACAGCAGCCTCCCTTGCTCCCCCCTCCACTGCCTCAGGTAGCTTCCTGAAACCAGCATGCATGGAGAGCCAGCTTAAAAGCTGGCTTCCTAAGCGTATCAGCACCTACCTGCTTCCCCTCGCCCTGCCCTGCTGCCTCTGGTAGAGCCAGCAGAGCAGAGGGAAGGACAGGTGGCTCCATGGGAACTGGTGCTTGCAGAGAGCCCCCCCCTTTTTTTTAAAGCTGGCTCTCCAAGCACCAGCTCCTGCCTGCCCCCTGCGCTGCTGGGAAGGGGGTGGAATGGCTCTGCATGGACTGGCATGTGCAGGGATCCGGCTTAAAAGCGATCTCCCCATGGGCACTGGCTACTGCCTCCCCTCTAGGGAGGGAGGGAGGGAGGGAGGGAGAGAGAGAGAGAATATCTCTATACGCCAACATCCCTCCTGTCCATAAAACTTTATTGAAGTTTCATCTTATGTAA